TTGAGGTGCTCAAGCTTTCAAAAGTCAAGAACTACAAGTCCTTCTAAGAGGTACGTCATCTAACTAGTTGTATTGTTCATTTGACAATTTTGTATGCTAGTTAGGACAATGCTTTGGAAAAATGATAATGCATGTATAATTAGAGAAAACATAGATCCAAAGCATTTAGGGTTGCATGTGCACTTAGGAAGTGTTATAGTGCTCAAAACCCAATATGGTTATCTGCTCCCACTTCTACTCAAGTATCTCTGGTTGTTGTAGTAAACCTGAGGGGATCTGGTATTCTACTTTGACCTTGGCGTAAGTCAGGCACTTGCCCACATAGGTAGTGATTTCTGCCTTCATGTTTGGCCACCAATAAATTTTCTTGACGTCCAGGTACATCTTTTCTGATCCGGGATGAATGGAGTATCTGGTCTTGTGGGCTGAGTTCATAACAACGTCTCTGTATCTACCGAATCTCAGTATCCAGATTTGATCCATGAGGTATCAAGCTTCTTTATCCTTGACTTCGAGGTTTTTATCCATTCATCTTAAGGTTTCAACTACTGCATTCTTGAGTTTCAAGGATTCCATCTGAGTCTCTTTGATCAGCGTGGACAGGTGTGAATGGATGGTCATGGTTAATGACTTTACTTGATGCCCCGAGTACTCTTTTTGACTAAGGGCATCTACTACGACATTGGCCTTTCCTAGATGATAGCAAATCTCGCATTTGTAATCATTTAGTAGTTCCACTCGTCTTCATTGCCTCATGTTGAGTTCTTTTTGGTCGAAGATGTGCTGGAGACTTTTATGATCCGTGAAGATTGTGCACTTCATACCATAAAGGTAGTGTCTCCAAATCTGTAGAGCGAATACTACTGCTCCCAGTTCGAGGTTCTGTGTAGTATAGTTGACCTCATGGTTATTAAGTTTTCTCGAGTCATAGGAGATGACCTTTCCTCGTTGCATAAGAACACAGCCTAGCCATTTCATGGACGCATCGCAGTAAACCACAAAATTTTTCGTCACTTCTGGGAGGGACAAGATCGGGGCGCTGCATAGGGCTTGCTTTAGTGTTTGGAAATCAGTTTCTTGTTTCTCCTCCCAGTCTAAGGTTACACCTTTCTGAGTCAAGGTGGTGAGTGGTTTTTCGATTTTGGAGAAGTTTTGTATAAACCTTCTATAATAGCCAACAAGGCCTAAGAATTAACGAATTTCAGTGGGAGTTCTTGGTGTCGCCTAGTTTTCTATTGCTTTGATTTTGGAGGGATCTACATGAACTCCTTTCTTACTAACCATGTGACCTAGGAAATCCACCTTTCAAATCCAAAGTTTGCATTTCGAGAACTTCGCATACAACTTCTCCGCCCTTAATGTCTCCAAAACTTTCGTAGGTGTTGATTGTGTTCTTCCTTACTTCGTGAATAGACTAATATGTCATCAATGAATACTATCACGAATTTGTCTAGGCTAGGTCGACACACACAGTTCATCGGGTCCATGAACACTGCGGGTGCATTTGTTAGTCCGAAGGGCATTACTACGAATTCATAGTGACCGTAGCGAGTTCTGAATGCGGTCTTGGGGATATCTTCCTCCTGGACTCGTAGTTGATGGTACCCAGATCTTAGATCGATCTTTGAAAAATAGCTCGCTCCTTGAATTTGGTCAAACAGATCATCGATTCAGAGTAAAGGGTATCGGTTTTTTATAGTGAATTTATTTAGTCCCCAGTAGTCTATGCACATACAAAATGATCCATCCTTCTTCTTCACGAACAGGACCAGTGCTTCCCAAGGTGAGAAGCTTGGTCTGATGAATCCTTTGCTTCGCAGTTTGTTCATTTGACTGGACAATTCCTGCATTTCTGCTGGTGCTAAACGGTATGGGGATTTGGCTACGGGGGTAGCCCCGGGAATCAAGTCGATTTTGAACTCGACATGATGTTTGGGAGGTACTCCCGGGAGATCTTCGGGAAATACGTTGAGGAAGTCACATACTTCTAGAATATCCTTGATGTCTTTCATATCTTGTTTCTTATCCACCACATGAGCTAAGAAGGCATAGTATTCTTTGCGAAGATGCTTTTGAGCCTTGACGCAAGAAATTATTTGAAGGTTCGTGTCGGGTTTGTCGCCATAAATGATGAGGGTTTCGCTACTTGGTAGATTAAGGCAAATGGCTTTTTCGTAACATAGGATATCGGCATGGTGAGGACTTAACCAATCCATGCCAATGATGACGTCAAAACTTTTTATTGTGACTGGCATCAGGTCGATTTGGAAATAGTAGTTGTTTAGAGTGAGGGTATATCTTATGTATATATCATTAGTGTTCTCTGCCTTACCATTTGCCATTTCTAAGGTGAATGTGTCTTTTAGTGATTGGGAATTTTGTTTAAGTAAGTATTTAAACTTGTGGATCATGAAAATTTTATCCGCACCACTATCGAAAAGTATACATGCATACGAGTTATTGAGGAGGAACGTACCGGTAACCACAGCATGATCATTCACAGCTTCCTCATGCCCCATCGTTAAAAATCTTCCCACACCTCCGACATTCCTCGCTTTTGGGTAGTCCCTCTTGAAATTCCTTGTTTTACTATATCCGTAGCAAGCCCGGCTCACTCCGACATTAGTGGCTTGGGTGTTTTGCTATGCTAGTGTCCTACAAAATTGGGCGGTATGTCTCTTCTTTTTGCAATTGTTGCAGTATTTCTCGCAAGACTCCGGTGTGGCGGAAGTTGCACTTGTTACACTTTGGAAGAGTTCATGTATATGGTTTGGTAGGTGTTGGAATGTCAGGGACAGTAGCATTGTGGACTGCCACCGTTTGTTGTTTCTTTGCGGGCTCTTATGTCAGTTGGCCCTTCTTCTTGTTCCAAAATTTCCTCTTATTCTCACTTCCTTTGGTTTGCTCAGGAGTAGCTGTCATAAAGCCCCATGATCCACAAGTGTTTGTGCCAGGCGTTTGACACTATCAAAGGTAGATAGGTTTGCAGTTATCACATTTCCTTGAATCTGGGGGGATAGTCCCCAGATGTATCATTCTACCTTCTTACTTTCCGGGGTGACCATCCTGGAACATAGTACTGCTAGGTCACTAAACTTGGCAATATAGGCTGCGATGTCATATTCCTTTATGTTAAGGTTACAGAGCTCTTGCTCTTGCTCTAGCTTTTGTACCTCGCCCCTCAGGTAGTATTCTGCTAACATCAGAATTTTCAAGTCTTCCCAGCTCAAGGTGTTGCCCACTGGGAGAGTCAATGATTTGACATAGTCATTCCACCAGGAGAGTGCTCTATCAACGAAAGTACAGGCTGCAAATTTGACTTTGCTTCCCTCTGGGCATGCGCATATTTGAAACACCGACTCCGTTTTCTCGAACCAGTGTGTCAGAGAAATGACACCTCGGGTGCCATCGAAAGATTTTGGTTTACAATTTGTGAAGTCTTTATAGGAGTATTCCCTTGGGTGCCCCTGGCTATTTCCTTGGTTAGTATTACTTGTACCACCTCCCGTCCCACTGGCACTATTCGTGCTGATTTACGCCATAGCAGGATTCACAACGGTTGTTACAGCAGCTTGAAAAATGGCAGTGTCCATCTGTGGCGGTGGTGGAATTGTTGGGGTGTTGTTTTTGTTTCTATTTGACTTCTTTGGTGCATTTTTCTGCCATAAGGTTTAAATATGTTATTGAATTAGAACATCTTAATTATAGAACTTTTATGTCAATTGTACAAGAATAATAGTAGGAAAGACACATAAAGAGCCTACTTGTATAGTTCCATAGTATCACAAAATACTCCTATAGTATTTTAAACTTTATGTTTGGTTCTAGAGTTTTTTTGTATGGAGTGTTGGCAATATTAATTTATTTTCTTACTACCTTGGAATCAAAGTACTGCAAAAGAAGTGAAGAATATCTTTATAACTAACAACTTATATAAAGAAGATTTTAGAGTAATTTGGGTTGCTTGATTGCAATCCAGCAAAATCACCAATGGAACCTAAAGGTCAAGAATGATGAAGTTAGCTAAAAAAGCGACTCATTCAAATGTAGTTGAGTGGTGGGTTATTTGAGGCACTCGACTCACACTCAACCTGTCATTTTTTGTTAGAATTGCAAGTTGTTTCATGGAGTAACCAACCACTTTACATTTCCAAGTTGTGAAACGCATCTTACGATATGTGAACGGAGCCATTAACTATAGACTCAACTGTGGAATAGGTCGTGAGTTCAAATTCAACAAAGCCACTTTTTGACAATGGAAACTTATACACATGGTGAACACAATAAAGTGTAATAGTAGTTATAGTGGCTGGTTTAGCTATAAATATAAGCTCTAAGCCTCTAAGCCTCTAACATTAGGTGTAAGACACCGCAAAACAAAGTGTTAAAGAGTAATACTTAGAATGAGTATTAGCCTAGAAGCTTGTTTTTCTTGTATCGAGTGTGTAAGATCTTTATTTGGTTTCAAAATAAATTTGAGTATTAGTAGAGGCTTGTTTTTTCTTTGTATAAGGTGTTGTTTGTTTTTTCGAAGTGAAAATACATGAAGTCTGCGAACCACCTCTGCAACCCTCTGTAACAGAAGATGTGGACCAAACGGCTGCAACATTTAATAAAAGATATGTTTGTTTTTCAACGTCTGCAGACTGTAAGTTAAAGTAAAATGTGAAGATGGTTGAAGCAATTGGTCTACTGATGCGCCAAGCAACACACACTCAACAGTTTTTAAGTTAAAAGTTTTCTAAAAAAAACAGCTGTGAATGACCAAATGTTGCACGGCACAGCAATAAATAGTCTGACCTAAGTGTGTGTAAGAATAGAAGAATCTTTGAACCCAACAAATGATGCTTCTTAATATTATTTACATTCCTTTTGCTGATAACATGAAAACTTTCATATTTAGGGCATAGAAACGATGGAGAGAAATAGAACAGAAACCATATTTTGTTCCTGAATATACATGATGATCCTTTGTTCTGATACGACTCTTCACTGGGAATCTATCTAATGCTTAGTGTAGTTGACACGGTGCTTTCGCTATGCCATTCACCGGTGACGGAGACTGGCGAAGGCAGGAAGTCTTTCAACAAAACCGTTTTATCACTGGTTTCAGACGGTGTTGGCGGTTTTATAGAATCAATTCTCCCTGGGGCTTGAATATCCTCCAACACATCCAGCACCTCACTCATCGTAGGCCTCATTTCTGAATAATACTGTAAACACTGAAAAGCCAACTCTGCCACTGATGTTATCATCCTCATGATTTCAGCATCTGAATCGGATCCTAGATCCGGGTCTATCAATTGATCTAACGCACATCTTTGTATCCTGTTCAAAGCTAGATCAGCCAAACTAATCTCATCTTGTGACCTACTTAAATCGACAGCCACCATTGATGATATTAGTTCAATCAAGACCACTCCAAAGCTGTAAACATCACTCTTATCCGTTAATTGGTAACAATGGTGATATTGGGGATCCACGTATCCTGGGGTTCCCTGAGGAGCTGTAGACACATGAGTGACATCATTCGGTAAGAGCCTTGAGAGCCCAAAATCTGCTACCTTGACACTGAAATTCTGATCAAGAAGAATGTTACATGTCTTGACATCTCGGTGTATGATTTCAGAGGCATGAAGGTACACTAACGCTCTGGCAGTTTCGATGGCTATGTTCATCCTCAACGGCCATGTCAGCAAGCTTGAATTTGCTTGTTTGCCATGGAGGTGATCTGCAACAGTGCCATTGGGGATGTATTCATACACAAGGAGAAGTTCATGGCTTTGTCGAGAGGTGCAACCATAGAGCACCACAAGGTTGGGGTGGCGTAATCTGGTGAGGATTCTAATCTCATTCACAAATTGTTGGACTCGTTTGTAGTTGTGCTCGTAAAGTCTCTTCACTGCAACTTCTCTCCCATCTTGGAGTTTTCCATAGTAAACAGCTCCAAAACCTCCATTCCCTAGTTCCAGAGATGGATCAAAATTCTGGGTGGCATCTTCCAGTTCCGTATAGGAGAAAACAGAGATACCGAAGAAAATACTACCATCTTCAACATGTGGTGATTTGTCCTTTGATGAGAAATAGGAAAAAGGGCTGTTCTTGTACCGACACCAGATTATGGAGATGACAATAAAGAGGATGATGATGAACGCAGATCCAGCAAGAACTAGAGCAGGAAAATATATCACCTTCAGGTAAAATTCTGTGTGTATGCATTTATATATTCAGTAGTAATGCATTGGATGAAAGAGGTAAGTTACCTTGGATGTGTTTCAGTTTTCCGAGTGGGTTTTCTGTAGCAAGAAAACAACAAAAGATAAGTTATATATGTTAGACCTATCAACTCAGGTGTACCCCGAAATAGGGAAAAAAAAAAAAAAAAAGAGTGTGTAAGTACCTTTTTTGGCTCCTAAACACTGAAACTGTCCATTGGAGGCATGACACTGTCCGTCTTTCTTGCCACATTTATCGCAGGAACTTGACAATTCAAATCTAATGGAGAATTGAAAACCGAGAACGGAAAATATGTTGGTTTTGTCGGGTACTCTAGTGGTATTCCATTGCAGTTTCACTGGTAGCTGTATTATTTCACATGTAGGTGGAAGATGACTTGGAAATGTTGTATCACTTATGTTATACTTATAATAGAAATTGTATGGTTTGCATTTGCTGTATCTATTGTAAGTAGATTGGTTAAAATAAGCAACCATTTCATCAGCATGATTGGTATTGTTGCTGCATTTGTAGACATTGGTGAAGGGTTCGATTTTGGTAGAATACAAAAAAGGAAATGGAGAAGTGAAATTATACTCAAGTGCCTCACACTTTTTATCATCTACAAGTTTTTCAAACTTTTTGTTAAGGACAAGGACCAGGACGGATGGACGAGAAGGAGATCTATAGTTGCCACCAACCTCATATAACTCTCCTCTGAATTCCAGATTTGTACCATTTGAAGTACAATTGACCTTAATCAACCCACACTTTGTGTCATTGGCGTTATAAAACGGGTAACTAAATGGTTCCAAATTTGGGCAAGTGAAACTTTTTGGGCAGATAGGAATGGAAGTGTTGTGGTTTGTAGCAGAGTGAAGGAAAGGTAGACATGAGAGAAGAACTGACGCAAAAAAGAATACGATAATCATTTCAAATGTCTAAACAAGAAAAAGGTAGTTAGACACTTACTATATATATCACCTGTGTTCTTGAGACTCCATTGTATGTGTTTTCTAGGTGTATGTGGTCTGTAAACATTTAATAAGCTTTCTCACTCAAAGACCCAGCTAATTGCCCCAACGTGAAAGCCAAAAGGATAGAAATCCAATCATTTTTGTAATTTTCTTCTTTATGAAAAAGACCTTCAAGACTTTTGAGTCACCCTTCTCTTCTCCTCCAATCATCCTTAACCCTTTTGTAACGCCAAAATATCATTTGGAAAATTATATGTGGTTCCCATTTATGCAACGTCTGATACTTTTCAACTGATCATAATGGCATAATCCAAACCGACGAATAAGACATTTTTAGAAGTTAACACAATTTTTTCTTAAATTTCCAATATCACATCATCATATAAAAAAGTTATGTGCTTTTTTACCGACAGAAATATTAGACCATGAAGTTGACCTTAGGATGAGTCTACTGTTGGACCAATCGGTAAAGTTGTATCTCTGAATCAATGGAAATAACCCACTTGAAGAAAGCTATCAAGGTATAACATAAGCTTTCACATGATTATTTGTGTTTTTACAGCATCAAGGAAATATGAATAAATTAAGATGGTTTACCATGTGGAAAACCAGCAATTGACTTGAAGTTTCGATTAGAAAAAACTAAGTCTTTTACACAAGTGGACTGAAATTTTGATGAAATACTCCTTTACCGATGAAGACAAACTATAAAGACCAAGTCCATGGTACTTGCTCCACTAGCAGTTATCATTTTGCCTTCCTTTGAAACACCAAATCAAGAAGACTAATTAATTTAATGAAACATCTATTGTTGAAGTTAAAGAATATTTGCAAAAGGAGCGTGGAGTATACAATTTGATTATAGTTTTTATTTTGAAGGTAAAATTTCACTTTCACATGTCAAGTAAAACTTTTATAAAAATCTAGGCTAAGGTGAAAAGATACCATTTTCAGTTATGTTTAAAGTTTTCATAAAAAAAAAAAAAGACATGTGGTGTTGGTGGCGGCTGATGTGGTAGTGGTAGTGGTGGCGGTAGTGATAGCGACATTGGTGGTAAAAAAAAATATATCACATATGATTAGAACTTGAAACTTAGAAAATGTCTTCCAAAATCAAAAGTTGTTTTTCTATTTTTTGAAAAAAGAGATCAAGAACACTTTTTTTTATTGTCTTCAAAGGCAAAACAATCTTTTCTTTAAATAATTTTCCACCTACAAACATAAACGGTCAATTTTTTTTTTCCAAAACACAAACACCTTTAAATCTTTAATGTTTAACTTAATTAAATACACAAAATAATTAAATTACATAACACATTCAGAAAAGAAGATGATTTGTACACAACAATTTTTCTTCATACAAAATAATTGACGCTTTAAAATATTGTCCTATACAACTATATAATGCATAAATTGTTGTGTATGATAAAAAAAACTGTGCGTACGAATCACTTCCGATTCAGAAAATTAGTTAATTAGTTATTTTAGATGTTAAACTGCTCTTTTGAGTCTCATCACTTACTCTTTTATGGTGTATGCTTTAGGGGTGTGCATGGGTCGGTTTGGGTCGGTTTTGGACTCAAACCCAACCCAACCCATAAATGGTCGGTTTCTGGTTTTTAGAACCCAATAGGATCGATTTCTGATCGGTTCGGTTTCTTGGGTTCTGAGGTCGGTTTGAGCGGTTTTTCGGTTTCTTGGGTTCAACCCATACACTCACGGGTTCTGGGTTTAAACCCATAGGTTTAAGGTTTTAACCCATGTTCCATAAATGAAGCAACAAGTTAGATACTTCAAAAAATAACAAATTTAAGTTAAGTACTTCAAAAAACATGAGTCTTACACAAATAGTCAATTACAAGTTACAACTAAAGCCCGAAATAGTTTATTACAACTAAAACACAATCAAGTATGGGCGGTTTCTCGGGTTGGGTGGGTCGGTTTCTTGGGGCGGTTTGTCGGTTTTAAGTATGGGTCGGTTTCTTGGGTTGGATGGGTCGGTTTCTGGTTAGAAACCGAACCTGAACCCGATTTTTCGGTTTCTAAAAATATCAAACCCAAACCGTCGGTTTTGCTTCGGTTTCGGTTCTTTCGGTTTCGGTTTTGTCGGTTTCTTGGTTTTTTGGTTTGGGTTTGCTCACCCCTACTATGCTTCCAGTCAGATAGGGTGGGTCCATGCTCTTAAACATTAATGTAGTAAAAAAAGAAAAAAAAAATTACATTTACTATTATTTTTCTAAAAATATCCTCAAGGGGAAAAAACACTTTTCTGTAACTCCTAATAAGGCTGCCGAGACTCAAAACTCGACAAGTATAGCACAGAGAAACAACAATTAGCAACTCCCCCTAACAGTGCTCTTGGACTACTATTGGGCTCAATTTCAGCCTCCCGTAATTCAATAACATGATCTCCAGACCTTCAACTTTCATCAAATCATCATCATCATCATATCACGTCTCAGTTTTAGATGGGTTTTCACGAGGTGGAATGATACCCTGCAAGAATCTGCTAATCATCTCGTAGCTTGTAAATGTAATAACAGCCGATGGAGTCGTTCTCAAAAGATTAGTCGCACATCCACGGTAGAATCCCGCAACGCCTTCTTTGTGAAAAACTTTCTTCACACAATCAACCACTCCCTTGTAATGGGTCCCACTGTTTCTTACTTGCCCTTGTTCCTGAAGCCTTGACCTAATCACCTGAGGTTCCTATATATATTACTTCTTCCAAAATTGCCCCCAAAAAGAAAACCGAAGTAATCAAAATTACAAAATTACCTCATGTGGGTAAGTCATTAGGGACGCAAGTACTTTCGACATTGAAGAGGCGACTGCAACTTTCCCGGGGCTTAGCTTGTTTGTAGTCGTATTATCTGATCACTTGAAATAGATACAATCAACTTTATATTAACTCCGTCTCACACATTAAATGACTAAATTACCCTTTAACTTTGACAAAAAAAAGGTAATGTTTTCGAGTAAGTTGCGAAAGGACTATTTAGATTTTACCCCTTTGTGCCAAGTAACATTTGAACTTCTCATAGGCAGGAAATTGAATAGCAACGTGACTAATTCCAGCAAGAGAAGGTAAAAGCCCACTGTCAAAAACAAAAGATACAAATTTGCATAAGTCAACAAGAATTTGATTTTTGTAAAGGTACAACTCACAAAGCATACCTGTACCACCCTCGGAAGCCTTCCTCCTGAATGATTCTTCTCAAGGCTGATAATATACCCGTGTAAGGAACCACACCTACTCTCATTCCTTGTGTCTAAAACAAACATCACACAATTTTTCTATCATCATTTCAATGTGCACAATATTCTTTTATTTTTTCATTTATTAATGTAATATATACATTTGATTGATAATGAAAACATACTTGCAATCTTGTCTTGACAACCCACAAGGGATTTGTGGCAATTGATGTGGCTGCACCAGCACCCGAAGCAGCTAACATGTTGGCACCAAAGCTAAGATGCCCATTGCTATCCGCTGCATATAAAAAAAAGGAAAAAATATATTTTAAATCGAAAAAAGCATATGAATTATATGTATGGAGAAGTTTGAAGAGTATTAAATGGAAAAACCATGTGAATGAAGAAGAAGCTCTTTCAGGTGCCCATAAACAGCAAAATAAACCTATATTGAAAAATAAAAAATGAGAATAGTAACATGTAAAGTTAATTTGGTATATTGTAATGTTAAGAGTTAATACTCACAGCCCAATTTGGAAGTAGAGCAGCTAATGTTGGTGAAAGGCCTCTGTATATTCCTCTTAACCCGTCTTTTCTTATAATGTTTTGTAGACTTGTGACAATGACACCACCTGAGAAGACAAAAAGAATATCACTCACAAGCTACTGTTTTTTTAGCGAGTGTTTCCTTTTGACTTAATACAGAAAGCATAATATATAGAGACAAGATGGGGGAATAAGGTTTTCCTCATTAAGTACAAACTTTCCCTCATTTATTTTTTCCTTTCGTTTCTAAACATAATATATACATATATGTAAACTATAATAAGATAAGAATAGAAGAGTTTTAAACTACCTTTCTGCCCGGGAGGTACTTTGGGCAGCCCGTGAACTTGGAGTCTTGTCTTGATCACATCTAATGGACACACAAAAGTGGCAGCTATAGCACCTACACAACAACATGAAATCTATCTTATGATCTTTTAATTATTCGAAGTCAAAATAGTCAGATTTTATACACTTAATCTTTCTAAAAATGCACATTCAACTGTACAAACAAAAGGAAAAAATTATATTTTTCTCAATATTCAAACCTACATTAACATTACATATATGGGATTGATTCAACAATGCTGAAATTGAAGGTGAAAATTTCTTGCTTAGAGTGGCAATTTGTGGAATAAGGGAACTAAAATTAGACGATAAAGAATCCTCTGGTAGTTCTAACGAAACCTAAATTGAAGAATATACCTGCGGAGGCACCAGAAACGGCGTCGCAAATGATATCTCTACCGTTCCGATGCTCCCCGGCCGTCATATCATCAAATTCCGAACAACAAGATCAAAAGGAGAGTGTCTCCTCCAAAACGCACAAAAATCACTGAACTTTCACTCGAATTTTGCAATTTCAAGAAAACCCAGATGGAATTGAACACAAACGTTGCATAAAAACCTCCATTTATGCAAAGAAATTGAGGGCGAATGACGTATTTAACAGTTTGGTTGGAGAAGAAAAGGATACTTCTTTTTCCGACTGAATAAAAAATCCTCCGATTCAGAATTCGTACTTTGATCCAATATCTTAAAATTGAATTATAAGTAATGTCAATAAATTCAGTAGTGAATGAATGAGGTTGATGGCGTGATCGGGGGGTCCGCCAGGTCGGAGTTCTTTTGGGTTTGTGGATGAACTTGAAGTCGGTTGTGCTGTTTCCGCTTTGCTTTGTAGGTGGTGTCCAGTTCCTATTCCACTTTTAATTCGGCTTTAATTCCATTTCCACTTCGAATTTTAGCTTTTTATTCGAGTCCGATCGGCTATTCCGATTTTGTGGTCGACTTGGTGACGAATGTTGTGTCTTTTTCAAAGCAACTAATTCTTTGAAATGTATATTCCCTTTACTTTATAATAAATTAAATCTATGGTTCAAGTATCTCGGTTTTTAGGTTGTAGTTCAGCATGGGTGAAATTATTTTATATAGTTTTCAGTCGGGGGAATCATATAAGAACAAATAAATAAGTGTTACAAATTGTATATGGGCTTA